GCCTCCTCCCCAGCGGCAGGGAGAGCTGACCAGCTCGGGTGCTGCGGGCTGCCAGTGGCATTCCCAAACTGCCGCCTCTGTGGGAAAACAGGTAACAGGGACACAGCAGCGGTGCAGTAAAGAGCACTGAGCCTCTTGAGACAGCCTAATTCCTCCTGATGGAAGCTGTTTATTATTTTTATTGCTGCACTGTTGACTTTATTTGAAATACCCTGAAGCCAGATCTCCTAGCTGCAGACGCACCGCATGGTAAGCTGAAGTACAGGCACTCCTCCCCTGGAGAGCACCGAGTTTTGAGTTACAGATGCTGCTTCGCATGACAGTGCGGTGATGGGGGTGCTTTGCATGGAGTTTCCATGATAAAACATACCTGGCTCTTGGGGCTGGCAGGAGCCTGGTATCTGGCAGAAAGCCCACTCAAAGGACAGCGTGGGAGGAACCTCTGTGCCTTTGTGGAACTGAAAGGCTCTTTATGCTGGAAAAATTGCTTCAAACAACAGAGCAAACCCTCAAAAGAGACCCTCTGCTTGTATAAATCAGTATCTCTTCATTAAAGCCAGTGGCGTCACGCAGAGCTACCCAGGCCGGGGGAAGGTCCCCGTGCAATCACACGGGGAAAGCGCTGCACAAAGCGAAGCTGCTGCCGGCGCTGGCTCTGCAGGCACAGACGTGCCCAGGCAATTAGCCACTGATGGAAACAACGATGACATGAGCTGCAAGAGATGCCTAAAAATAGATCCTAATAAAGTGGTCTGTGGCTTCAGCACCCTTTGAGTCTCCCTCTTATTCGGGAGGCTGAACCCCGCACATGAAATACAGCCACGGTGTCCTGACAGCCCAGCATAGCCAGTCCCACTGCCGAGGCTGTCGGCACGGCGCAGGACCGCGCGCCTCACCCGAGCGAGTGGCAGATCCTGGAGTAAAACCTGAGCATCCCAGCTAGTCTGCCATCAATCACTTTACTTGCCAGGTAACAGCAGCCTAACTCCTAGTCCCCCACAGTACCCAGCACTAGCTGGAAACAAACAGTTCTCCTCATTTGTTCTGCTCTGTTCCATTTTTCCTCATTTTTTTCTTTACTTTTTTTTTAAACATATATTACATATCTTATATTTTCTGGCCTCTACTCTCTTGACATTGCTGCAAAACTTAGAGCTTTACTGTGAGGTAAGTAAAACCAACTGAAGATTTTTGGCACAACAATTTTGATTGCTGTTTCTGTTTCCTAACTTGACTAAGTAACACTTGACCATGTGAAAAATCACAATGTCATCAGCTAAGTTTTCTAGGGACCAAACAATTTGGCAGTAACGTGTAATATTAAATTCCTCAGAATTCCCTTCCTTAACTTGCTCGTTTGTCTCAGATATGGCAAACACACCAATCCGTAGAGAAGCAAGCTGCTGTTTCAAAAGGATTTACAGGCGGCTGAACAAGTTTTGATGGATCAGTACGTATTGACACCAACTGCTACATTTTACTCTGCTAAATCTAGCGATATCTTTCATGTGACCACTTCAAAATATTTTGCAGCCAGTTCACGCAGAACTCCAGAGGGATGGATAAGCAGCTTTATCTCCACTTCACATACGTGGCCAAAGAGATTAACTTGGTCACATAGTTAATGACAGAAATGAGAGACGAACCCAGGCATTTTAAAATAAACACATGCTTCTTTCGAGGGAAGAGACACAACGGCGTACTTTAAGTCCAAGTCTAATTTGAGCTGTCTCTACAGTGTTCTTTTCCTTTCTAAAGGACAAAACAAAAAGGCCACTGGAGACAGAGGGAGAGATAGACGTGCTCTGTGCCACTTCACGGCTCCTCTGATCGAGTTTTACATTTCTCATTAAAACCACAGCCCTGGGAGGACTCTCCGCCCTCTCCCAGAGCAGCTGGGACCTTCTTTCTCGCCAGAGCGGGAGATTAGCAGAACGGCTTTGTTATAGAAGTCACCATTCTGCAGCGATGCTGAGGGCACAAGAAATGTCAAGGCTGTGCCTAATAGATGACACTGAGCCATCTGGGATCTGGGGGAAGACGCTGCTAAATTAGCTGCTCCAGTGTCCTGACGGTTCAGATTTGCGTACAAATCAAAAAACTGCACATGGCAATTTGTGCTTGATAGGAAGGGTGTGCAAGAGCCCCCCATCACCCTTCCTATTGTCCCAGAAAGACAGACCAGTACATCGTTAATCATCCCCCTTGGTGGCGCAGGGTGGAGGAGCCGGGAGAATTTGCATAACTGCAATACATGGACCCTGCAAGGATCCTATTAAAGCATGGCCAGACAGGTTTTGAGCTAAACCAAAACTGTTCCTACCATGAAGCCCCTCCGCACTCACTCTCTTCCTGCAGACCCGCTCCTCCCGTCGGGCACAGCTCCCCTTGCACAGACGCCCGGGGCCCTGCATCGCCCCGCTCTGCTCACGCTGCTGCAGCCAAGGGCTCTGCTGGCTCTCAATCAAAGGCAAAATTCACCTTCTCTGCTCAGAGCCCCTCTCCTGCACTCCATGAAACGGCAGGGTTGCCCCAAGGGGCAGAGGACCCGCGTCCTGCCTACTGCCATGGTACAGACCCGGTGTTCGCAAATGGCACTGTCATTCCTGAGAGTGAAAGGCACTGTCTTCTTATCATTGTTAAATGTACTAAGATCAAAACACTAACTTTATAACTACATCTAAAAATACCTGTTTTCTTCATTTTCCTTTACATGGATTACACACCTACAGAAAGCCCAACGCTGTTGGATCCGACGGCTGTCTTTTCCTTCAACCACTTTCAGTACTAGTGGGACGCAGTGAATGGGATCCCCTTCTTCTGGAGCATGCCGAAACCCTTCTTGCCGTGCTCTTGCAAAATATACTGAATTTGTACAAAAGTCTGTTCAAATAAACTGCCCTTCCTTTGGGGATTTAAAATTAGAACACCCATGTGCAGCTCACACGTCCGATATTTTGTTTTCTTTGGTGAACAGATTATATAATTAGGGGAATTTAGCTGCACAGAGTTGAGGATGCTTTAGTTGAAGTCCCCTGAAGGGATTCCTGGAGTGCGTAAGAAAAGCCATCTGCTGACTCCAGTGGAAGTGTCAGCAAGGAAATAAAGTTGGGAGGAATAATATAAACAGCCAGAACTAAAATGGAACTCGGCAACTCCTCAGGAAATCAAAGTCCCCAAAACTCCATGAAAATAAGTCATTCTTGCTTAAAAAAATAAATGAGAATGAGAAAGAGAGAGAATATACACAACAAAAAGCAGATACCCCACAGATAAATCAAGGTGTTATCACACCTTGCTGTTCAAATGTCTCCATGATCAAGCTATTAGTTTTATCATATGGCTTAGTACATCTTAAATAGTAAAGAGAACAAAAAGGACATACTAAGAATATTTTATCGTATCTCAAAATCTCGAAATCATCAGGGGTTCTGCATCAGAATTACTTTAATTAATGCTTAGAAGAATAAATATATGATAGTGGGTTAGTAAAGGAGATAAGCACTCCAGCACATTTTTAAATTATACACTTAGGTAATGATGAAGCCAGAAGACTAACTCGGTACTTATAGCTCAGTTATTTATGTGCTCATTGAAGCAACTCTGGCAGGAAGAAACTCTGCATAGTGCAATCTATACCACTGCGAAGATGCCTATTAAAGGAAGAAATGGAAATCCCTTCTCTTGAATCATTTAAAAGCAGTTCGTAGGAGTCGCTGATGCACACAGGCGTTCACATCCTACCATCACTACAAAACCTGCTTCCAGCAGTTCCTGCCCTGTGGCTATTTCGTGCAATGAGCACTTCAGATACAACTCAGCAAGCGCCTTCCCTAGCAAGGAAAGCACTTCCACATGTGCTTAACTGCCTGCACCTGCTTAACTCCACCAAAGTTGTGGAGAGCCAAGAGCCTGCTCATACTGATAGAAACTGCAGATGCATGTAGTAGAAAGAAAAATATTCCATTTCAACAACAAAAATGAGGATGTATCTGATCTTTGTAAGAGTTTATCTGTTTCAAATGCAGACTAATCGGTGGGCCAGGAGGAAACCCCAGGCTCACCGGGCTTGCCCCACAGCAAATTCTCTTCTAAAGGCTCTGGACTTTGAGAAGCTCCAGCTGCAGGACATCCTGCTGTGTGGGAGCCACAGCCCATGAAGCCATCGCTTTAACATGAAGGAAAGCACCATGTCTGCGCTGTTCTGAAGGCAGAGCCAACCTACACCGACAACCAGACCTTAGCATGCTCGTGATACAGCGTGAGAAGTGCAGAAAACATTCAAGCGATTTCTAGTTTGTAACTGTGTATTAGAGGTGCCTGAACCATGCAGTTCTATCTGGACTCCCCTGCTTATGTGCTCAGGAAAGTGGTTCAGGCTGGTTCATACCCTGCAGTTATAATGAAAAACTCCATCTTTTTTTCCAGACACCGATGAAAGAAGTTTATAGGTAGCATATACATGAATCAATTACTTTGTTGTGTGACCATGTGGCCAACATAAAGCTCAGAGGCAGCTGACTCTGAGTGTTGCCCAGAGTTGTGGATGCCCCATCACTGGAAGTGTTCAAGGTCAGGTCAGATGGGGCTTTGAGCAACCTGATCTAGTGGAAAGATGTCCCTGCCCATGGCAGTGAGTTGGACTAGGTGACCTTTAAAGGTCCCTTCCAACTCAAACCATTCTATGATTCTATGACTCCTATATAATGGCAGCTCTAGTTCTGCTCATATATGCCTACATCAACTGGGGGAAAGTCAAATGCGTGTGTGGAGCTGCAAGGAAAAAAAAAAACCACACCACAGGGAGGGGGAAAAAAAAAAAATCCAAATTCACAGTACATTTTCAGGCCCCAGTTAAGCACATTTTAAAGCCCCAACAAATACCCCTTGCATTACCACCACATGAGAGTGCATTTAAGGACCAAACCATGCTTAAGATTTAGCTGTGTGCTTATCAGTAGAGAACGGGCAGGATGCACGCAGGGGGAGGAAGCACTTACATCAATGAGGTCAGAGACGTCGTGGATGTAGTATTTACTGACAGCTGCGTTGGTGGCTGCCAGGTTCAGCAGGTAGTCGTTCCGGGCTTTAGTACACTTCAGCTTGTTTTCAGAATATTTGGCTTGTCTCTGAAAAAGCAAAATGGAGTGTCAGAGCACAAACAGGATGCGACTTTCACAGCTTCTCTTGCTGCAGGGCCCCACAGCACCCTGCAGCCTGGGTGTGACATGTTAATTAATAAAATTTGGTATCGGGTATGGAAACAGGCACCCTTGCCAGGATGGAGGACATCACATTTGAACATTCCCGGTACCATCAGCCAACGCACAACGAGCGCATTCTGCTCAGATGTACCCAGTGCATCCCAGGCACAGCTGCTCTTCCTTTATCTGTGCATTCGTGGAGGTTTTGGCATCAATCAAAATTAGAGGGCCAAATTTTCCTCCCAGATACGCTGACATACATTTGGACTTGCTCCAGATTTATGCAGCTGTATCAAAGTGGAATCTGGCCCAGAGGCCCAAGCTACAAAATTTAGAACAAGACCCAGAATTCAAAACTCTGTAGGAAAGCAGATGTGCTCAGATCTGGGGCATTTGCTCAGGCAGATCACTAGTCTAAAGGTTTAGCACAAAAGATTAACCCTTCAAAGAGGCTTGCCACTAGACAGTGTCCCAGTGCTGTGTCAACATGCATGCAAAAGCTTCCTGGCTAGGGAAAATATTGTTTATTCTCAGAAATTAACAGAAAATTTAAACGGTTTTGGAGATCCTGAGACTTGGGGATTTGCTGAAGCTGGAATGGAGTTAAGTGTTTTGACTAGCAAAGCCAACTGAATGCTGCTCTTTAACTCCCAGACGGTCTGCAGAGGAAGAAACACAGTTATTTTATATACCCAACCCTTTTTTTTTGCTCCCCCAAGCCTCTGACTGAAAGAACCCTGGGACAGCTATTGGTTATTGTTAGA